CTACAGAGTTTCAAATCACGCAATGTGTGACCGAATCATAAACGGATACATTATTGTCAACGCCGTAGCAAAGCTCCGAGTACACGTCTACGAAATTGTGAACATGAATAGCTGCTACGGCAAACAAATATTTACTTTTCCTTCTCCTTTTGATTGATATTCTCAAAGAAATATTTGATTTCACATTCAAACGTTACACGAAGAAAATGAATATCAACATAAATACATTTTACAGTATTAAATATCGTTTGGAATTCTTCGATTCTTATTTTGTTGATTAGTTCATCATCCTATAAGTTCCAATTAAAGTCAAAAATAAATATTTATGATATTCCAAACACTGTGGATGTAAAATTAGAAATAAAATGGGTTCATCAAGACTATACTAAACATCTGTTGCATTTTATTACAACTTTGTAAGAAGAAAAAAAACAGATCACAGAAGGGTTGTTTCACGACGTACGTTTTTTTATAGGCTTCTAAGTTAATTCTATTGTTGGTCTCTTGTAGCCTAAACTGTTGATTTCAAAGACATAGCTGTAGGATATCGTATCGTCGAGCTTATTTATTAATGAATTTATTTTTCTACATTTAATGTAACTTAGTACAGCAAGCTTTAAATTGCAAGTTAAATATTTAAGCACGATTTACGCCAGTAAGACGAAAGAGAGACCTATTTGTGAAGCGAACCCAAGAAACATCTTCTCAGCTATTGATCCTATTTCAATAAACATAGAGATGCTCTACAACAAAGAGAATGAAAATCAACTTGCAACACATTTTATTAGTCATCAAATATTTTTTGTATTCATTTAGTACTTCATTAATATAGTTGCGTAGAATGAACAATAATATTTTTAATTATTTACCGTACCGTAATCCAATAACAAAAAAAAAAAAACAAAATTATTTTTAATTCGGAACCCGCGTCCGCTCGTATATGAAAAAGCTTTGATTGCTTGCTCATGAAATTCTCTATTGGTGAACTGTCAAACTTTATTTTCATATAATAAAAATGCATCTCAAACTCTACTCGATTTACCTCTCCAATTTCTTCGTTAATTAATTCAGTGTTATCCATACACGCGATTAGTTCATGCCATATTAATATGTCTAGTGTCTAGACAAGACTATCATTCGCTTTATGATCTCATTCTTACTAGACATTAGCCATTTTAATACGTACGCGGTAGATTAACACCTAAACTGCTATTTTAGTAATGCTACTTGCTCTTTTGCTTCAAAACGGGATAATACTGCTTTCCCATTTATAATAATGATCTCGTTATATTATCATAATTATATGTGCATAAGTGACATAAGCGTCGGTGGCTCAGTGGTCAAGCACTTGACTTGCAATCTGCAGGTCCTGGGTTCGAATCCTGCCATGTACCAATGTATTTTTCGATTTCCGATTTACATATGTACATTTATCCGACGTTATTACGGTGAAGGAAAACATCGTGATGCAACCTGAACACATATCTGAGAAGAAATTCAAAGATATGTGTGAAGTCAAACCAACCCGCACTTGGCCAGCGTGGTTGCCTATGGCGTAATCACAATTAACTTAGGGTACGCTCGGAGCCCCTCGGTGGGGACGTATAGTGAGCTGATGATGATGAAGTAACAAATTATTACAATATATAATCAAGATGAAAATCCCAAAATAAAATAGTATTGACTTGAAGTTTTTTTGCAATACAGGTGAAGGCAGGCGAGGCAGATGAACATAACATTTCCCTTTATTTTTAGAATCTACTCAAGAGATGAGAGATGAACTACTTGTTACGTCCCCGCCATTCTTTCTTTACTTTTATCTAAACCTTAGCAGAGCTCATAGTTAGTCACACGGTTAAATTGTAGCCTAGTAAAGCTACTGATATGTTAGACGTAGCATAAGTCAACGATACTAACAAACGTAGTAGTTGATATTGGGTTTTCTATTTTAAAAATAACTTTATATTAATGTAATAATAAAGTACTAAACATGATACGAATACAGTCATAAATAAAGATCAAAACAAGCTTTTAAGCGATACAAACTTACGATAATCGTTATGTAGCAGGAATGTGAAGAGAACTGTGAGTCCGGCAGTTTTTCTGCCTCATTTATCAAATTTATCAAAAGAATAATTCCCTCGCCAGCCACAGATGTTCTTCGGTTTTCAATATTTTCTTTTACAATGCTGACTTATATTATTATTTTTTTTACCAGACAGAGTTTTTTGTCCGCAATAAAATGTAGTAAAATATTCATATTTTAATTGTGTTCATGTTATAAAGTCTACTTACCTTTGATGGGATGCAGTTCTCTCAAAAGATTTTCTTTTTACAGCGACGCGATGTATATATTTTTAATGAACAAGATACAAAAGTCTACGTAAGTAATAGTCAACAGGTAACACAGATACGAGTATTCAACAACAGGTTAAACATTTAAAAAGTGCAACAAGTTAACCGCGAAGGCGCAATAGGGCTCGCAGTATCACGATACTGTAACGACAGTCGTCCGTAACAACAACAAGAGGAAGACCAAATCGAGCGTATCCAGGATACTCGAAATTAACAAGGCGGAGCGGAAGCGAAGAGAAGGCATCACAGGTAATTCAATAAACACTCCGTAAGGTAGAAGAGAAACTTAAGAGATAGAAAGAAAGAAAGAAGTTTGAGCAGAGGAGTGATCGCGATAACGAACACGACACGCGCGACGTGACTCGAGCAACTTGAAATATGGTATGAAGTCTGTCAAATTCAACAAGTGGTTTGGTAGGGCGGGCGCGCGGGCCGAGCGCGGAGGACCTCTCGGCGGGAACGCTCGCCCGCCAGTGCCTCAACGTTCCCGCCTCGGCGATGTGCTGGTGTGCGCGCTCTAGCCTCGCTCTACAGCCTTCACTGTTGCTATGTGTGCGTGTCCCTGCTGTACGCAAGAGGATTGCTGCGCTCGTGTGGGTATCGACGTCAGTGTGCGAGCGTGACGCCACGGGTCTAGCACAGGTGAGCCCGGGCGGCCCCAGCGAGCTCCCATCCTATCTATACCGCTTTCACAATGAAATGCCTGGCTGAACACAAACTACCTGCGTGCTACATTACCAGACGCGTATACTCTGCCTGAACGGCCGCCGCGCTTTTATTCTAGGTTCAGGTTACTGTAGCTTTTTTTAACTCTTTAATATATAATATTTTTCTGCTGCCCAATGAAACAATTTTATACTGTCATAACTAGTAATGATTTAAAATCCAGGAGAGGCAGAACCTTATATCTGAATTTTAATTCAAATCAAAGTTAAGAAAAAAAAATTGTACGTGGTAGATTATTTTTCATTATCCCAGTGATTAACTTATCTAATAGTGACAGTAATTGTGTCCAGAACCAACCAACGATAGTAAAAAAGTTCTGGAACAGTAGCCAAATACAGGTGATCGTAATACATGGACTTGACACATAATCCGATTGTCTACTAAAAGTTAAGAGCTGTAAGAAATCTTTGAAAATTCTGTTTATCATAATTATGATTAAGAGAAAATTAAACTACAACAATATCTAAAAGATGTTATCACGCCATTGTTTGATATCGGTACAAAAGGCGAACGCAAAATTTTAAGCCTCCATTACGTTCGCACACAGATAAAAATAAACGAAAAAACCACTTTGACTGAAACGTTATACCTATGCGAAGCCATTCGGATCACCAATGTAACAAGCTAAAATAGCCATTAGTATTTATTCTATTATAAGAACGCTTTCAGTTTATACCCAAATGAAATTTTATTTATTTCAAATTACATTTAGATAATGGTTATTAGTTTGTCGATTACTCTTCAATATAATTTTCCACTTGTTCGTTGCTGATACAAGAAAACATCTAAGAAAATTAAAATATGGGCTGACGAAAAATATCTTTGATAAAAGAAACTTACGGCAGTAGTTTGGAAATAACTACAATTCATTCATAAGATCCACAGGGGACCCATTTATATTCAAAAATTAAAACTATAAAGTATAAGATTGAATGTGGGTAGCTACAAGGATTAGAGTAAGACCAATGAAAGTATGGATGAGTTAATGGAAGAGGATATGCTTATTACCCTTCCAGATGAAAACAGATGAATGGAAGAGTTTTACATACTGTACCGATTCTCCGTAGGAAAAATGGTGGGATGCCCATTACGTTAGTAAATAAAATCAAGGATTTAATGAGTTTTAAAGGTTTTACCTTTTTCGCCACACGCCACTCCTGCGCACTAAGAATTCGTTACAAGGCACGACTTGGTCCAGTCCATCATTAAAATAATTGTCTACTTTGGAAAAACACTACGCAAAACTCGCCATCATGGACTTTAACTTTGTAAAAACAAGTAACGCTTATTGTCAGCTCAGGTAATTTAAGGAAATTTGTCTTCGTTCTCATACCACCTCGTTAAATCCTTAAACTAATGTTCACCAACTATTTATTTTATCACAAACGTTGCTCGACCAGCCAGTACCAACACGAGAGTTCCTTTATATACTTATATTGCAAATGCAATACTGAACTTTTGCTACCTTTGGAACAACAAACTCAAGAATAAGGGTACATAAAGTCCAAGCATATAAACAATTACTATAGATCGGAAAGAAATTTGTTATAATGCTTGCGTTGAGTTAAAGGAATAGAAATTGTTGACACAATTTGTAAATTGTGGGTACGAAAAATAGGTATAAATTTGACTATTTTGTTTGTAGTAATTTGGAAAATAGGAATATAAGATGAGATAAACGTTTAAAGTGTTGCCATTATTTTTATCCCTTTAAGTTTCACGCTTAAACACCTTCTATGTCTTCTTTCTTATATGATTAAAAAAGTGCATTTAAATTCGTTTTTTTTCATAAAAAGATAATTTTATCGAGATAGTTAACGTATTTATAACAAGAAACAATTTGAAGTATGTTTTAAAGTTAATCGTCATATATAGCAACACATTCGTAAAAGCAAAATGTCAGCTGGATGTCACTGTCAGCGTCAGCCACGGCCACGAATAATAGGAAACACAATTCTTATATCGTATCAGTTTAAAAATTCTTTAAATTAATAAAACAATAGAATAAAACAAATTCTTCAACTCAGTATTCTAAGTGCTAATAGAAAAAGTTAAATTATTCATCTAACTATGTTATAAATAAGATGAACTCCGAGTAACATTCGCGCATCTTCCGTTGTTGCGGCCGAAAAGTAGTTTCACGGGAAAAAATAAGTGACAAAAGATGCCTTTTGTTAATATCAAAAAGCAATATTTTGTAATCGGGATGTTATTTTTTGTAGTTTTATTTTTGTTTAATAGTCGACCTGCGTTTCAATGTCAATTTACGCCAGAAATCATTCCATATATCCCAACAATCTATGGGATAACACCGACGTACGCAAGACTTGCACAGAAGGCAGATCTCACAAGGTAAGACCATTTGTCACGTCGTGTTGTAAATGCCCTTGATTATTTACTTCTTCAAATATTTAAGCTTATTAATTTGGCCATGGCACAATAAATTCAAACTTTGTGTGCAGTCATTTGATTTTCTACGATAAATTTAAAAGTTATGGTAAACTCTGAAATATATACCTAATTAGTGAACTGCACAAGTTGTATTTGATGTATGTAATTATTATAATTTTTTATCTTTGTAGTTGAAATTCCTGCTGTTATATATTTTTTTTGGTTCCTTCTGAATATTTTTTGAAAACTGCTTACTATTATTGCAATTAATAGTATGATAATTCATACTTACTTTACTTTACTTTTTAATAAATTCATTGTATAACATTAAGTAATAGATAAATTTCAGTATTAAAAAAAGTTGTTAGAGAAATAAAATACATATAAATTACATTTATAAGTCACTTCTTTTTCGGCAATTTAATCAATTTCATTTCTAAAAGTTCTAAATTATTGTAAAAGTCAAAAGTTAGTGGTAATTTCATGCATTAATTTGCTTTAAATTACTCAAATGCAGTACATGGCTAAATTCAATCAAATTATATTTGCACATTTCCTTGGCTGACACTGTCTGATATAAACTGGTTAATAAACAACCTGTTTTTATTAACTCTGTTATAAAAGCTTTTAAAGGTGAAATTGTTAAGGTAGTTTTGGTATTATTTCTGATTTCATTGTATTTGAGTATACTAACAGAATTGCAGCTTTTGATGTTCAGAAAATATATCTCTTTGAATGATATTTCTATTGATACCACAATATTATTCAAAGCATTGTATATTTACATATTAATAGGTAGCCTTAGAAAGTAGTTATGGATTTACTAAAAATAATATAGGGCATTTTATAGTTGGCAGGCTGGTAAAGTTTCATTTCGAATTTCATTATTGTAAAAATTCTTTTATGTTGAATAGACAAGGGAACAGTTAAAGAACATCAATGTAAGAAAGAAAAATTATGTTTCAACTAAGGGTATTTAATAATACATCTGATTGTTTATAAGTTTATAGATAAAAATAATGTAAACTTACTTCTTACTATGTTACATATACCTTCTTACTATCTTACATTACTCAACTATGTAGGAATGTAGGACACAGTCTGGAAGAAGACATAAGTTACCTAAGTCCCTGGAAATGTATGCTGCTCCCATATGACATGTTTGATTCACATATTTACTTGATCTGTAATGATTCAATAGATTTGAAGAAAATTTGACATATAAAACATAGTCTCGGGTAACATGAGCTACTTATCTCCCTTTTTTAATACTGTGCAGTTGAAGTCGCAGGCTATGAAAAAAAAAGATGTTTTAACAAGACAAATAGTTTATTCTCAACTAAGTAACTCTTTTCCTTGTTTCATGACTAAGTTGGCAGTCATTTGTTTATTTTGTTATCATTAACAATTGAATAATGAAAATATTCAAAGGCCAAAACATTCTTTGTGTTACATTCAAAGCAACTATTGCATAAACATTGATTCAGAACTATTTAAGACTTGTATGTTATGCAAATATTCTTCTTTATTGAAGTATTCTCTACTTTAGAGCATTTTAAGTGGAATTATTATATTTGGTTAGTTCCGAATTACCAATATGTTTAAAAGTAATTTAACCGGGCTAGGTCTTTTAAAGAAAAGAAAAATATATTTTACTTGTTTATTAATGTGAAGTTTGTGTAATATTGAAAATAATCGTCCAGGCAATGCGGAAACTGGTGTAGTTTCTAATTAAAAAAGATTTTAACAAAAAAATGTCCTTAGATTGTCGCAGACTCTGATGTTGGTGAAGAACTTTCACTGGATTGTTATTGAAGACTCTAGTACGAAGACAAAATTAGTTGAAAATCTCCTTAAAGAATCAATGCTCAAGTACACGCATCTAAATGTTAAAACCCACAAGTTAAAACATTCAACGGTATGTATTTTATCAATTAATTTTAATTTTTCACATATGAGTTTTACTTTTTACACATACGTTTTTTTTTAATCGGCTTATGGCTGATGTAAACTTATAAATAAAACAAAGAATATAAATAGAAGCAAGGACATATAAATGTTACATTGTAAAAGGTTTAATTCATGTGTAACTGAAAGCCATTAACCTTATTGATAAGTTTGTTGATAGGTAACTTTAACTTGAGATAAGAAGAATAAGAGGAAACCTTCCTGGGTTAAAAACTATGTAATTTTGATGAAAATAATAAAATATGCACAAGTAAAGGATAATGGTCAAATTATTGGTTACCAAATGTTACTTACTTTCATGCCGTTTGTTAATTTTCCAATAAATCTTAACATTAAACTTCAATACAGTTTTTTTTTACGAAAATTAAATTTCTATAAAGAATGAAAAGATATATTATTTTAGATTTGCTTCTATTTTTCCTCTAAATTTACTGTTAATTTTAAATTGAAATTTATATTACAGGCAAGTGGTGTCGAACAAAGGAATGTAGCTTTGAACTGGCTCCGTGAACATTTATTGAAGATTCATGATACAAAGGGTGTTGTTTACTTCATGGATGATGATAACACATACTCTCTTAAAGTTTTTGATGAGGTATGTTAACTTTTAATCTGTTATTCATAATTACACTGCCATGACTCTTGTAATATTAACACAAGTTACTGTGACTTTACTCTAAATTAAACTTTAAACATCCTTTAGAATGGAAAAGAAAATTGTTTAATGCAAAAATCTTGTAAACTACTATGATATAAAAATGTGGTACAGAGTAGCCAGCTTAGTTGGTACAGGGATGGCAAAGACCATCACTAGGCTAGTTTTCAGCTAGCCCGTTGCTCACACCATTAATGCTTAGGCAAATAGTTTTGTGTTACTCTATTAATAAGTTGTTCTACAAAACAATTGTCACAATAGCGCCAATTTAGAGCAATAGTATAAATGAAGTATGACATGGTTCCAACAATCAAACAATGTCAAACAACTTACATCTATTCGTTTTTATCAATTAGAGTTTTAGAGTGCGGAACACAATTTTTTTTGTTTTTAATTACTTTGTTTATAGTAATATATTATTTGTTTTATTACAGTTTGTAAGGTAAGATAAAAATTTAATTAAAAAAAATGTTTTATCAGCTTTATATTGCGAAATAAAAGTAAATATTAGTCGTATGTTTTTCCAGATTATGCTCTATATCTGTACCAAATTTCAGTGAGATCTATGCAGCTGTTCTGGATATAGTTTGGAACAAATAATCATCCAAACATTCTCATTTACAATATTAGTAAGATTTAGTAGTTTATAACAAGTGGAGTATTTCTTTGTCTTAAGGTCTATTTAAGTATTTCTTTTTCAATTTACAGATGCGAAAAATTAAGAAAGTTGGAGTATGGCCTGTCGGTATAGTGGGTGGCATGAGAGTTGAAATGCCACTTGTAACCGATGGAAAAGTGTCCGGGTTCAATGCTGTTTGGAAACCGTTCAGACCATTCCCAATAGATATGGCTGGCTTTGCTATTAATGCTACATTGTTTATAGACCATCCCGAGGCCAAGTTTTCAAGAAAGGTACAATCTGGTTATCAGGTGAGTTTTTTTGTACATTTTGGTATTTTAAGTCGACATATGTGTTCTTAAACAATCATATTTATCAAAGTTTACACAGATGTGTGCAGCTGCAAGACTTGTCTAGAACAATAGAAAAAATATGGTATTACATATACATATTAAAAAAAAACTGTTAAAATAGAGCCATTTTGCTATAATTTTCAATATACTTTCAAATATACTTACATTGGAAAAGTAAAATTTGGCATATAGAAAATCCTAAAATAATGTAATTTATTCAGTCTTATTTTTAATTAGACATAACTAACCAACGCAAGTAAAACTTAATGCGCAACATTTGTTATCTGCGATTTGGTAAGGCAATTGTTTAAGCAGTCAAGCCGTAATCAACATAAATTCATTTGCATAATATCAACTGGCCAATTTACTTTTTTTCTTGTATGCCAACCTGAAAAAACCAGTTTTACCAGTTTTTGCTGCATGTATACATACATTTTAATAAATTGTATGTTATGTTAACATTTAAATAATATGGTAAATGGTTAAAACGCTGCTTGTTTTCTTTGACTCACAACATAAATAAAACCACAAAGTAGATGACATAAACATAAAGTAAATGACTAATTCCTTAGTAAATATATTGATGTATATGCATTTACTCTTTACACAGTTAATAATAATTCAGGGCATAATAGAGCGGTACCCGTCACTTGAGTTCACTGACTGATAAGGGTCATTCAATTAAACTTCATAGATATCTGCTTGTTTATATAAGGCAAAAGCGTGCCAATTTTACTGAGGTCATGATAATTAAGGACCATAAAGATGAGTATTCACTGAAGTAAAAAAAAAAATTAAAAAACTAATTTTTAAGGTCTTCTTTGAAGATAAGATTTAGGTTATATTTTATGAAACTATTTCTAAAAGACTGAAAAGATGAAACACTCCGGTTGTACTATTTGACCAAAGTTCATTGGTGCAGAAATATGTTAAAAAAACTTTTTTTCATAGTGATGTCAGTGATAAAGATAGTTTATAGGTTTACGTTATTATTTTTTCGTATTTTTTATGAAATAAAAGATGGATATTCCACTCTAGTGCAACCGCACCCTTAGCGGTGATAACTAGTGAACCATGAATGTAGTTGAGTTCAGACCACAATCGAGATATTAGCTCGTTATCGTGTTATGGATACTATTTTAAATTAACCTCTTTATCAGTCATTTCCTGGACGTAACGGCAGCATTTTTCCTTTTAATAATATAAATATTGTGCGTAATTAATGTATACCGTATTAATATAATACAATGGTTAAAACTAATATAAATATCTATTTCATTCGTCCTATCAATCTGATATTTTTTTTTTCGAAAAGTAATCATTTTCGGATAGTGTTAAAAATAGCGCCATCTATTATAGAATTCAGACATCCTACCTTCATCCTTGACAACTGCAATGACATTTTGAAAGATAAAGATGGCGTCTGTATATTATATAATTACTTTTCCAGGAAAGTGAAATTCTCAAGTATGTTGTAACAAAAGAAGAGTTAGAACCGCTGGCGGAGAACTGCACCAAAGTGTATGTGTGGCACACACGCACACAAACACCGTCAATACTCAATCCGAAGAAATTAAAACATCCCCCATTGCCCGACGGCCATATTGAAGTGTGAATTGAATATATACAGCCATATTGACATTTGAATTCAATACATTTGAAGTCATATTGAAGTATCAATTCAACATGGCTTTCAACCAATTTTTTTTAAAATTTAGAATTCAATATTTATGTCAGCCATATTTTATTACGGGTTCAATATGGTGATCAACTATTTTGAACTTAGAATTTAATAAGGCGATTAGCCATTTTGAATATGGAATTTAATGTGGCGATTAGCCATTTTGAATTTGGAATTTAATATGGCGATTAGCCATTTTGAATTTGGAATTCAATATGGCAGCTATATTAAGATGTGCGCTTCATCTTATCATACTACTACCTTTTGGATTCCTGTTAGAGTTTTAGGCATACATTAAGTGAAGCTGGACAGGGTGATTATTTTCGAAGGCGTCCTTAAAAATCTAGCTATATACCTATCTTTTAGACGTAGACTAGTTGCATTTGACTAAAATTCCCTAATGATTAGACTTATATGTAAATTAACAACATATGTATGTACTGATAAATCTGTTTTTTTATTTACACCAGTATTATATAAATAATTCAATATATAAATAGTATCGACCTTTAGTGAACGCTAGCTTTTTAGTTTTATACATATTCTCTACTACGTTTATTTTTTTATTAGTATAATTAAGCTTTATTTTTATATATCGGTTCTTTTTGACGTTATGTAAAGTATTTTACTCTTATTTAAAAAAAATCACATTCTTTATGTAATCGTGCTCCTTGTATATGTATGATATCGGATTATTGTAATTATTATTCAAAAATTGTATGGAAAAGGCTTGTTTAAATACAAAGATGATTTATTGAACTTAATTTTAGGCAATATAGTCAGTATTTTCAATACTCTCGTCTCGTTTTAGGGTCCATCTATGTAATTTATTTTCAAAACATAGATTTTTTGAAAGTTAAAAAATGTTTCTTTTTTTTACTTTAGAGATGAGAACTTACAATTACGGTTGCTTGATCGGTAACTAACTTCAAGTGCTTAATAAGTTACCAGTGTTATTTTGAAGTGTTTTTTCTTTAAATTGCAGCTAGTTATGATTATTGTCATATCTACAAATCGTTTAATTTTTTTTATTTTACGTACCTATACATGTTCAATATTTATTGCTTCTATAAAACCTTATATTTATCGAGTTTTGGTAAATACTTCGAATTTTGTTATACTTTATTTTTAAGTTTTTTTACTAAACGTATCGTTTACATTAATTCAGCTAATTTTGTTTATAGCAAAAAAAAACAAACCAGTTATATTAAATAGCTTTATAGATTAAAAAATATTCTAAGACACTCAAGAATGTGTTTTTCGTATTATTTTTAAATGCATATCTCTTTATTAAATATCACAACGATAAGCAATATTGATTCAGGTAGGCTGTTAAAAGTGTTTTTAATTTTTTTTGTCTGTAATTTCTCTTTGACAAATATTAATAAATAATAAACATTCTTTTATCACAAGTTCATAGATATTTTTAAAAAAAATTGTGATAAAAGTATTTTATGTGTGAAGTAGCAACAGATGGCAGCGTCTTAGAACCTGACGTATGATATTCTCTCTCTCTCTCTTACTTACGGCGGTCGTATATTCCGTTTCGTTCACTCTCTAATACGGTATTTCATAGCTAACTTCACAGAGGTTACAACACACGATATTCTTAACTTTTACCTTTACCAATATTATTCATTTCTTAAGTCTTGTATTAGTTAATGTAGGTTTCTGAGCAATTATTTACTATTAGTTTATTTGAGGCACAATTTTTTATATTTGTAAATACTTTTTCGTGCAATATGCTGGAAACTGGTGAAGGTATTTCTTTTGTCTATTTTGATTATCCTGCCCTTAAAATGGACAATTGAATAGGGACTTAATTATTTAATTTTAAATAAACATTATGGATTAAATTCAATTTAATAATAAAAGGGCCTTACTTAACGTAATTTCTTTAAACCCTTTTAACATTCCAAGCTTATTCGTATTCTTTTTTTTAAATTATTACGATAATAATCTTAAGTGGAAAACAGCTTCTCTTTTTTTGTCGACTAAATAATCCTTAATGTATTATGGAAAGTAGGTATAAAAGAATACGTGTGTTCAATATGTTTGTATGATTATAATGTTAGTTTTATTCAGCATAATAATTCCTAGATTTATTGCTCAAGCATCACAGTCGGTCTAAAACATATCCCCTTCATAATTTATACATAAATTTTAATACGCGTCACAGTAAATAAAGGCTCTGAAGTTAGCATGCAGCGCATCTGACAACAAACGAGGCGTATGCTCTGTCTCTTTCTAACACGTGATATTGCGTATATATTTGTTCCACTCACTCATTGCGAATAGTTCGCAGCTAACTTCAGAGGCTTTTTATTCTTGTCGTGTATATTTGTACTTATTGTAACGTGTACATTATTTAAGCAATAATTTACTGTGTTATTACAATCACGATCAATTAGTCTTGTAATTTTCGAATTGTCCCATATAGGGATGTTAGTTTGTAAATGAAATGATATACATTTATTTTATTGTAGATAATAAATTATTTTATTTTTTATTTATTTATCTTTGTATTTATATTTGGTTACTGTGTAGATATCGAACATTTTAAAAATACTGACAACGACCTATATATAGAGATTTTATTTTCCAAAATGTTTTGGTGACAATCGACATGTTTTTACAAAATCAAATGATGTATCTTGCTTTTAGTTTTATTATTTAAATTTGGCCTAATTTTTGTTATTATAACAAATACTCAAATAATCAAAACAATTTGATAAATCAAAAATGATATTATAATTATTAATATTATAGTTTTCTTTATATGCAATAACGTAATAGCAAATTCTTGCATTGCAATTGCATAGAAGACAGGGGAGAAGTGTCAGCAATTCCGCATGTCGTCTGATGAGTGCGGGGCGAAGGCTTAATTTTAAGGCCTCTTTCCCTTCCCTCTCATTTTTTCTAAGGAAAGGATCGAAGGGGAATTCTATTTCATGAAGGAATGCATAGGAAAAGTAATTCTCTTTTACTGCGTCCCTCCTATCGATTCAAGGTAGGCAACGTATCTGCGATTGCTTCGCTATTTCGGCGAATTCATGTGACCTCTTGTTCGTTTGCCACCTTTTAATATAAAAAAAAAATTGATATTTTTTAGTGTTAAAGAAAACAGTAGGGTTACAAAACATAGCATTTTTATACCACAATTGAGTTAAAAAAACACGAAGACTTTGTTTTTGTAAATTTATACAATTTGCATTGTATTTTATACATCAGAAGAACCTTTTACTTGTTAATTATAAGTATAAAAAGAAAAATATATCAGTTTAGTTAAATTCGGTACTAAAATGATTTAAACAGAATAATGTAACATGAAATCAACAGTTATTTTGAAAACTAGGTAAATTGTGCAAATAAAATCTCATACCACTGTAACGAAATATTAATAAAGTTATTACGAATTTATCGGACTTTTATTTGTTTTAAATCTATACAATAATATAGGTAAGTAAATAACCCGTTTAAGTCGAAAGATAATTACTTTAAGACGACAATTTGAGGCAAACAAGTAGACTTACAACTAAACATAGTTGAAGCGACGCGAACTACTGAAATTTTAAAATATTTTTCAAACGCTCAGTGAACATTCCTATATCCTCTATAACGAGTGATATAGTACGTAGTTAGTAAAAATCATTGAAATTTTTTATTACAATGATCTCATCATCAGCTCTACGTCCCCACCGAGGGGCTCGGAGCCTACCCTATGTTAAGGGTGATTATGTCATAGTCACGCTGGCCAAGTGAGGGTTGGTTGACTTCACACATATCTTTGAATTTCTTCTCAGATATGTGCAGGTTGCATCACTATGTTGTCCTTCATAGAACGTCGGATAAATGTATATATGTAATTCGCAAATCGAAAAACACATTGGTACATGGCGGGATTCGAACCCAGGACCTGCAAATTGCAAGTCAAGTGCTTGACCTCTAAGCCATCGACGTTCTATACTATAAGAAATGTTTACGACAAGTTTGCATTATGTATGAAGTAACTAATTAATAAATTGTTGCTACTTGCACAGAGAAACTAAAACAATTTTATAACAATAACAAAACAACGTAGACACAAGTCCGCAGAGCTCTCATAATAAATATTTACCTAAGCTAAAGCGTGCTGTAAAGTCGTGATTAGTTTCCGCAGGCGTGCAACTTTCAAGTGCTTAATGCAAAGATGAGTGCTTAGCTGTACAGGCTCCTGTACTACAATTTGCATGGAGCCAGGAACCTTTTCAAACTTCATTTTGTGACCTAAATAACATAAGCACTTGATTTTGCGCTCATGAAAGCACTCCTTGTTTCTAATTTATGCAATTTTTGACACAATTAACAGCTTAGACTCCTTAAGCGATTATGAAGGACTACTTTTTTACTCTCAAGTGACTGAAAATTTCTTATCCTAATTTTTTTATAAGAGTAGGAGACAAACGAGTTGCAGATTGCTTAATATTAGTTGATCCAGAGCCCGCAGACAACCGTAATACCAGAAGAACAACAGATGCTTATTCTTATCTTCTTTGGAGCAACACTTGGTTATTTAGGTAGATATTATTTTGATGAATTATATTTTAACAATCCTATAATACCCAAAAACTGAACCAGCTTTGTAGCGTTTTATAGATATTTTTTTAAATAGGTGATTTAACTTTGATATAAAATTTAGAGAATCGGCGAATGAAGCAATAAGACAGTTGTATCAAACGAAATAACTGAACCGAATGGAAGAACACGTAACAAACGTTTGAAACTTTCTCTATTAAGTGAATCACGTATTACATTTTCTGAGACGAAATGGCTTAGGCAACATTCGTAACATTATTGGATATCCTACTTTATCACCGACAATATAAATTCCACCTTATAGTTGACTAATTTTAATTTTAGACGTTAAGTACAGATTTCGACAAGTAATAAGTGTAAAATATTTTACTTTTTACTTCAGTCCAATTTTTTGTAACAAATTATAAAACCTTCTTTGTATAACCTTCTTTTAAACACCTTCTTGCTATTTTTAAAATTTGTAATCTGTGTTCACAGTCACATTATGTATTTACCGTGGGTTATACATATTATGTATACTGTCTTTGTAAGTTTGCCGTGTAAATTATATATTGACCGTCAAAAATTTGTGTGAAAATTAATTATTTACAAATAAGTGAACAAATTAAATGTGGTTAAATTGGTGTTCTATTAATACTTTTGTTGAATAGTTAAAGTGAATGTAAAAGTGTCACCATCGTGAAAGGTAAAATATTTATTTATCAATAATTTACTTTACTAATTACATACTTAATGTAACTATATGTTTGTTTACATTAAATGGTAAACTTTACCCCTCAATTTATGTACATAAAGTTACATTAAGTTTCGAAGTTCATAAATATTCAACTTATACCCTTAAAATATTTCATTTGAATTTCACGAAATTGCAAAATCTAATCTTTAATAGCATCATAGTTGTTTATTAAACTGTATTTTTATGTTAACATCATATTGCGACATATGGCAAATGCATACATTAATGTTTGAAAATAATTTTTTAACTTATTTTGAGGTTAGTGGCATAAATAATATAGACGACAAAATAACCAGTGACAAAAAAGTTAAGCATTAAATTAATCAAATAAGACACTTATTTTCACTGATTGATATTATAATACTGTTTTAAAATAGGAATTTCCACATAATTAAATATGAAAATTAAATGCTTGTTTCCAAAATAATACGAGTAAGTTATTTTAATATATTCATATCTAAGTTCACGTGAGGAGTTCGCGAGGAAAATCTTCGCGTATTACGTGGCAAAATAATGTTTACGTAAATTGCTTTTACCTTTCGCCTCGCTAACTTTTCCACCGGGAGTAAATCATCACTGTCAGCCTTTCCTCGTAAATGTATTTTAATAAAATGGTACAGTTGACGAGAAAAATGAACAGTGATGCAATAAAAAATGTTTTATATTTAAAAATATTACGTCACCAATGTGTTAACAATTTATATCGTAAAATTGTATTTTTTCGTAATAGACTATAGGACAAATATAATATATGAGTTGGTATGCATGAATGCATGCGTTTTCG